AATCAGTGAATACTCGAAACAATTCGTAAATAATTAGAATGTTGATATCGTAAAATTACTTTGAATGATTCTTGATACAGTTAATGAATAAAAATGAAAGGACGAAAAGCGAAAGCGAATTATTGAAATTGCGAATATATCTATCGGTGCATTTGTGAGTTCGAGAAAAACGAAAATCAGTGTGTTAGTAAATTGACGCGTTTTGAAAATCAGTGAATAGACGAAACATTTCGTAACAAAGTAGCATGTCGCTATGATGAAATTTCTAAGTATGAATCTCGATATTATTGGAAATACAAAATGTACTATAACGATTTATTTTCTGTTTAATTATTATAGTGGCATCGTATGTTACTTTTTGGCCATCTATCAGAACAGTAAATTGCTTCTTCTAAATATGTTTCACGCAGTAAAATTTATCTATTTCTGCCATTTGTCAAGGATATTATCATGTTGCCGTCCTACTTAATACTCTTAATTTTATTATATAAACAGGTAGACACTGTTTTAAAAATATTTTTTTAAATGTTATAATGACTTGATATATGGTGTTATATTAGTTAAAATTAGCCCTTTGGTTGAATTTTTTTTTTTTACGGTTAGCAACAACTTACATTAATTACTGTTCAACAGACAGAATTTACATATTTTACTCTAAACTGTTTACTGTGAATTAAATTTAAAATCAATTGGTACAGGAGCTGAAAGTTTAGCTCTGTGTTATGCTGTACCTTCTAAGAACAGTCCAAAGATTTTTGCAATTCATTTCACATATGCATTATAATCTCAAAATGAAAATGAGGTACTAATGGAAAAATCTCGAAAAATATTTGTCAAATCAAAAAAGTTAAAATAGCAGTGTTGGATGTTTTTAAAAACTTATCTACTGATACCTAGTTTAAACCCCAAATTTCCTCCTGAAGCTTTATTTATCGCGAACTAGAGTCAACTGCACAATGGGCTATTGGCGACGGTTTTAGAAGTTTACCTCAGGATGATCTGAAGACGTGCCATCACAATTTTGATCTTCTGCAGAGGAGATGGCTCCTCCGCTTCGGTAGCCCGAAACCGGCACACAAAGTCGTTCACTTTACGGTAGAACAGTTTAACAAGGACCGATACCAAGTACCTTCATCCCCTTCGCAAGCTAATCAAAGCGGTCACCCACCCGCTCACTAACCACTACTAAGGATGCTTGACTACAGTCTTCTACGAGAACCGTGTCTTTACTATCAGTCTACAGCGGGATGACTATATTTGTAAGGGTGACTCACGGAAGGAAATACTAAATTTAGAGAAGGTTCAAAAGTTTGGAATAAATATATCATCATTTCCGCACTTCTCGGACACCCTGTATATTAAGGGTTGCCATTACGAAACACAATACAAATTAATTGCTACTTCTTTTAACTTCACCATATTCCAAACGTAAAATGTTTACTTAAAAAACATTACATTACATCACAAACATCACATGAAACCCCGTGAATATAATTACATCATTACACCGGATTTTTGAGACTTGAGCATACTTTGTATTTTTGAGCTCTTTCAAGGAGTTCATTATCGATTTCTCGAGCCCTTACTTTCAGAAAGCATATTTTTAATTTTACGGAATGTTTTTTAAAATATTTAGCAGTATACTAGAGTGTCCTTACAATTTTCCCGCGTATTTTACTGAGTTATGTAATTTAATTAATTTCAACTTGCATGAAAAAGATGACCACCGTCCATCGGTTAAATAAGCTATTGATATCATCAGAAAACAGAAATAGCTAAGCGAGACAGGAAACAAAAGCATTTGTTTCCTAAAGCTAAACTTGAAATTTAATGTAAATTTGAAAATTCATGAATATGTTGTAATGTTGTTCTATTCTATTATGAACATGTTGTGATCTGCTTCAGTTGATTTTCAGCTTGTTTAGTAATTAATATTAGTTTCAAACTTTAATCAAAAATCTCATTTTAATATAAGAGTATATGTTTTAATATATTGTATGGAATTTTAGGAAGGAAATGGTAGTTAAGATCTTTTTTTAATTTTTAACATATTTACATCTTTTTAATTACATTTTCTAAGTCATAAAATCCAGGCTTTATTAATTACTTATTTTAGTAAATAGTTAGCACTAGAGAAAAACTGTTTCGTTGCTGAGGATTAAGGATCAAAAAAGGATTAAAAAAATATTAATGTTATTCTTTTAGACATTACATTAGATTCTTCAAAACTATGATTAATAAAAAAAAGGTCTTAAAATTATGATTAACTTCTCAAATTTTATTTGCTAAAACATCTTTGCTTTAAATTAATCAAGAAATAGAAAAGCAACTATCACAAAAATTGTTTATGTATCTCATATTGTTGTTCCAAAATGCACGAAAAAAACTAGTGAATTAGTTGGAAATAAAAAATAGCCACTTAATGTGATTAGTCTTCGAAATAATATTCAACTTAGGCTTAGAGTTTGAAATTAAACTTTTAAATAATCTTTTTTTTAATGTTTTTTTAAGTTTCACTATTTTATGATTTTACATGCTCTTATGTAATTGCACTTTTTTATACTTTTACGAACGTTTTTTGTAAGTGAAAATATAAATAACCAAAACAAAAATACTTCAACCTTTCGTTCTCTTTTTTTTCCTTATTTTCGCTATTTTTTTTTTTTTTTTTTTTTAATTTTTTNTTTTTTTTTTTTTTTTTTTTTTTTTTTTTTTTTTTTTTAAAGGAACGTCAAAATTTATTACATTTTCAAAAATATATATTTAGTTACCTAGAAAAAGTCAATTTTTGCAAAAAAATATATAATTTTAAAAAATTAAAATATAATTGCTTCTTAAAAAAAACTTATGAAGGCATTTTAATATTTTTACTTTGGATTTGTTTTACTTTATATATTTTCAGTTTTGCTAGTTTCTTCATATACATAGATAAGAATCTTTTAAGCAAAAAAATTGAAATTAAGAAGAAAAAAGAGCTCCGAAAATTTTATTTATGAGACTTCACAATGCGATAAACGATCTTCAGAAATATTACTTTTAAAAATCAAACATTAGCTTCTTTTTTTTCTTCTTTTTTTCTGCGGTTGTTTGAGAAAAGCAATGAGATCTTTGAGGGCACTTAAACATTTGTTATGCAAAAATAGCTTACTAGCTTATAAGGATATTAAATTAAAACGTGCATACACGTGCTATTTTTTCTTTTAAAATATTTTTAAAATAAAATTAATTATGTGATACTGCTTATCTAATATTGTAAAAATGAATTTTAGAGCATTCCTACTACTTTTTTTTTAAAAATTTATTTAAATTTGCTTTTACACTAAGCTAACAATTGCTTACTTGAAGCTAATAATAATTTTTACACAATAAGAATTTTAAGTGAAGCACATTAAAGTTAATGGTTCGTAAAAGTACTAGTTTTAGAATTCTACTTCAACTTTCTACATTTTAGGAAGAAAACTGAGAATACTTAAAAATTTTAGCAGGAATTTTTTTTTGTTGATAAAATCTATTCTGATTCTGACTATTTGAGTAATTTCGCTTTCAATTTTTTAAAGTTGAATGAATTATTTAAACCTTTGACGCAGAATTTTTATTAAACACAGTTTTCATACCTTTTACATTATTTCGCATTAATTTGGGTCAAAACAAATGAACAATGTTATATTTCCTTTACGAAAATTTAAGGCATATTTAAGGTTGATTTGAGGTATTTTTGAGGTATTAAGGTTGATTTGAGGTATATTTGAGGTATATTTAAGGTTGCACAGAAAACAGCAATAAAAATTATACCTCGTGAAGGTTGTAATTAAGGTGTGCGAGGTTGTTTTATATACACTTCAGCTTGTTTTGAGGTTCTTTAAAATTCACTTCAAATTAACCAAACTGATAAGGTGATTTTTGAGGTATACCAAGTTGATTTTCTTACACTTGTAACAACAGAGGTATTTTTGAGGAATAAAAATTTTTACCTTGTTTCAACTAAAGAAAGTGAGGTATTTATTGAGGTATATGGAGTCATTTTTTTTTACACCTAAGCTTATTTTGAGGTTGTTTTAAATCCACTTCAAATCAACCAGACTGATGAGGTGATTTTAAGGTATACGAGGTTGTTTTTCTTACACTTGTAACAAAAGAGGTATTTTTGAGGTATAAAAAAATCAACCTTATTTCAACTAACGTGAATGAGGTATTTACGAGGTATAAAAAAATATACCTTATTTCAACTAAAGAGAGTGAGGTATTTATTGTGGTATATGAAGTCATTTTATTTATACCTAAGCTTGTTTTAAGGTTGTTTAAAGTACACTTCATATTAACTAGCTCAATTCCCAGAGTTCCGTGCGAGCCGGCAAATGGCGTGTGTGTTGACAATCGAAAGTGTATTCGAAATTCGGAAAGTGTGCTTGACATTTATTAATTTGGTTTTTATCACTTTTAATCAAATATGCTTCAATTTTCAAACTTAAATTTTATTATTTTTGTTTTAAAGATGACTCCTGATCCTAAATAGTTTAAGTTGGAGGATATTCTTAGAAGCTATTAGTGTAGGCTTAGCAATAAGAGAGAACAATCGAAATATTTCTCGTCGCTGTTTAGGGTAACGTTACCGGTGAATCGTTACAGTAGGTTATGCCCAGTATATTTTATTGTTTGTAATTTATTCAAATATGACTATTCTTTTATTTTGCTTGAATGTATAGGTTTCAACGTTACAGTATGCAAGCTGATTAGTTGAGTAAAATGTTTATAATATCTCTTATAAATAAATCATTGAAAATTGAAATATCTTTAAAATAGCAATTTTGCTTTGAAATTCTACTGTCGCTGTATGCTTATCGTTTGCTCGGATATCTGTTGCAAAGTTTATATTGTTGTTTATGAGTCAAAATATGTATAATAACACAGCAGTTTAAATCTGATTTTTTTTAATCTGATTAACGTGCAATTTTCTCTTCTTACATATATATATATATATATATATATATATTACAGAGCTTATCCACTGTTCCCTGATATTGCTGAGATGATCTAGGCTGTACATAGCACATGTGCAGCAGCGATGAAGAAGTGACTAGCAAGTTACTGCTCAGCCTTCCCCTAGGAAATAGTTCTGAATTCATACCATAAAGAAAAAGTAATCTCTCCTAATAAACTACAACATTTATTCAATTGTTGATAACAATAGTTTGTTAGATATTTGATAATTGAAAACTAGTAACTGTACTAGCTCACTTTTTTATGTTTGATCACACTGCTATTTTCACTACGTGTTATTTTTTCTCAATTTACCCACGTTAATTATTTACTAAGCAGATTGTTATTACTTATTAAAATATTGAATAGAATTAAATTAAACCCGATTTCAAGTTTATATGACAATTTGTTTCAAGGTTATGAGCATTTTTATGCAGCTGTTTATAGTTCACTACTTCAAAAATTAGCGACTTTCGGAAATCTTAAATGTTTTAGAAATAAGCCAGTATAGTTTCTTATGCAATTTTAATGCTGAATTGAATAAAATCAATTGCAAATAAAGACATTTATTGTTAAAAGTAATATGCAATTTTTTGAATTTCATCTTATGGGATGTGTTTTTATATTTAAACAAATGTTTGTAACAACTAGCTATTAGTTTTATTCTGCTTGGTATTATAAATTATATAGGAGATATTGTACTCAACTTATTTTAAAAGTATTATTTCAAATCATTCTCTCTTAGACATTTTCCTCACATAAAATTACTCACAACTTTAAAATAAATGCTCCTTATCAACTTGTAATTTGTTCTATTCGATTGAGTGTAAAAAAAGAATAAAAATTGGTACATAACTTTAAAATTTAATTTATTAGACGATTGTTGATTCTTGATTACATTTATTAAAAAATATTAAAATAACTATTTTTTAAGAAACTCTTATGTGATTGACAATAACGGAAGTCCTTTTCAGAATCAGCGTCTAAAATTTATAAAAAAGCTATTAGTTTCATAAAGTCTGACAAAAAGTTTAAAAATATATAGACTAGGTTTATTGAGTTTAAAGATTTGTAAGAAAAGAAAGAAAGAAAATATAATTATCAAACTTACAAGTACCATAATGATACCAAATGTATAGAAAAATACAAAGTGTTAAAATTGCATATTAAGATTGGAATTATATCTTTGAATTTCTGTAAATGTTGTTAATGGTAGTACTGACTTCAGTGTACTTTATTTTGTGGCTGTGGTACCTGTCATGCTTTTTAGCTATGAGGATTGAATAGAAATGGCAGAAGAGTACTACTATTTATCTGAAAAAGAAAATTAACTTCATCCAGTTAATTTAAATCATAAAAAAAATAATTTCTAATATTTTAATAGTTTAAAACCTGCCACTATTATTGTAAATATGACTTACTTACTAATTTATTTTTTTTTCTTTTAGGTTCCAATAATTACAAGTTTCAACAGGTAGACGGAAACAGTATTTAAAATAATTTTGTTGATTTGTAAAAAAATTAAATTTTAGTTTTAAATAAAAGTATTTGAATTTCAGCTGACTAATTATTTAAATTTGTAGTTTTATAGCTTAAGAAATTCAAGCACATTAGACAACTATTTTCTAAAAATATGAGTTCCCATAAATAGTTTTTACTAATTGTAGAATTTGGATAAGTGTTATTTTAAGATGATTTAATTCAATCTATTAAAATTACAGAAGAATTATGCATTTAAAACCTTCTTTTATAACTTAACAAAAGAAGCAATTACTGCCGAAGGTTTAATATTAAAAACTTCAGATTGATAAATGAAGATCTCTACTAGTGAAAAAATGTAATGACATACATTATTCTTCATATAATATAGATAATATCTTTATATATATATTATATTTTTTATATAGTGAGGTTAAAAATTAATCAACTAGGTGAACACCTCACATTCGTAAGTACTGAAAAAACAGCTTTAGGTTGAGCTACATAAGCCTTAAGTGTAAAATGTCGCATCTTTGGTTGATAAATTAATACTTCTAAAAATACAAAAATATATACTTCAGGTTACGAAATAATAACTTAAGGAAGAACATGGAACACATGACGTTAATAAAAAAATAACCTTTCCAAGTGTTGAAAATGCACTTCAGGTTGATTTATAGCAACCAGAAGTGTAAAACGACGCCCCACAGGTTGATAAATATATACCTCTACAACCATAAAATTATATACCTGAGGCTGAAAAATAATTACCTGAGGTAGAACAAAATACACCTGAGGTTGATTTATAACAACCAGAAGTGCAAAACGACACACCTTAGGTTGTTGAAAAAATACTTCCACAATTGTAAAAATATATACTTCAGGCTGATAAGTAATAACCTAAGGTTGAAAATAAAACACTTTAAAGTAGTAAATATCTACCTCTCCACAGATGTAAAATTAAACACCTCAGGTCGAAGCATATATATACCTCTGGAGGTATATTTAAGGTATATTTGAGGTTGATTTTGAGGTATTCATTTGCACCCTTTTAAACCTTAACGACGTATTTAAATAACAACCTCCTTTATACCTTTCAAATATACCTCGTTTATACCTCATTTATACCTCGATTTTTTCATAAGGGTAACAATTGCTTACTTGAAGCTAATAATAATTTTTATACAATAAGAATTTTAAGTGAAGCACATTAAAGTTAATGGTTCGTAAAAGTACCAGTTTTAGAATTCTACTTCAACTTTCTACATTTTAGGAAGAAAACTGAGAATATTTAAAAATTTTAGCAGGAATTTTTTTTTTGTTGATAAAATCTATTCTGATTCTGACTATTTGAGTAATTTCGCTTTCAATTTTTTAAAGTTGAATGAATTATTTAAACCTTTGACGCAGAATTTTTATTAAACACAATTTTCATACCTTTTACATTATTTCGCATTAATTTGGGTCAAAACAAATGAACAATGTTATATTTAGCATTTTAAAAATTTATGGTCTTACAATGCAGCACGAAACACCTGTGTCATTTTTCTGCTTTGTTGAAGCATCTTTTAAGCAAAAAAGAATCTTTTAAGCAAAGATCTAAAATCTTTCAAATGCGACTCACTTCTAAACAATAATTTTTCAAATTTTCACTTATTTGTAGTTATTTAGATCTAAGAGAAATTATTATTCGTCATTAAAGTTTCTTTAATTGACGAATTCAATTATTAATAAAGTTTTGAATATGAATATAAAAAAAATCCTATGGTTTTTTTCGACTCTAATAATTATACTGAAATACTTATTTGAGTACAAATATAATACTGATAATCTAACAGATTTTTTTTTTTTTGTAAATATTACCCATTGGCAAAATGGGTGTTGTTTTGGGTTTTGTTACCCAGTGGCAAAATGGGTGTTATTTTGGGTTTTGATGGCGTGAGCAACTTATTTGGACGTCACCACACTTTTCAACTGTGTTCAAGAGTAATAGTAAACAGTGCGCATGCGTCGTCATTACATGCGTTGCTATGGCGACGGTTGCTATTTTTCTTTTTTACTTTCACTAGCAGGCATTTTCAATGTATTTACATAATAATAATTTAAAGTATTTTTATATTCTTTTTATTATTAACTTATTACTGGCTTGACGGTGATTTCAATATAAATATGAATACTGAAGAAAGAAAAGTATTTTGTGACATCTTGAAACACGTATATAGGCAGGATTTGAAAACCAATCCGGCGACAAACATCAATTGAGACAGTTTTTGCAACCCATGATTTAAAATGTTGTGGCGTTTAACGGAGTCAATCCAGAAAGAAAAAGCATTTGACCAATGAGTAACCAGTGATGGTAATAAGGCGATCAAAACTTCTTAATTTTTATAACCTTTTGTTTTCTCTTCCTTTTAAATGAAAAAAATATTTTTACAATAAAAATTAAAAACAACTGATCAGAGCTCTCAATATTTAAAAAAATTTTTACACAAATTCATATGGCTAAAAGGAGTTACTATTTATATTTTACTGTTTTTTATAATTAAAGAATAGCAAATATATATATTTGCTTGTAGTTAGAGCGTCAGAAAAAAATATAAAAGGTCCCATGTACGGTAAAAGGGTAACGATAATAGTTCAACCCCTAAATATCAGGAAAATTGAAATAACAAGTGCGCAAATAGAGTAAAAGAATTTTTTTTTTTTCTAAAAGCGTTCTATATGTATGATTACTGAAAAACCGGTAACTTAAAAAAACCACACCACATTAATGCTTTTAAGTATTGAAAAAATTACAGTATTTTAGTTTCCAAAAAGTGAAATGTTATGCAACATTTATAAATTTATTGGTACATATTCCATTCTTAGAGAACAAATTGTTGTTGATGGAGACATCTTTATTGTTTTATAATTTGAGATAATATTCCAATTAAGCTAAATGGTTTAGTTAAATAAATACCTTAGAGCCAATATATTTTTTATCTCTTTTTTTTTTCATTTCATTTGTCTCGAAATGTTTTTGATACAAAACTTTCTTTATAAATTTCGCTTTTCTTTCGTTCCGTTTTTTTAGTTTAAAGCTTAATGGTATCATGCGATATCACTTACAGTGATTCTATGCTTGCAGCAACATAAAAGTGAATCGCAAAAAAGTTAAGTTTAATACAGTTAAAATCTAATTTAATTTGTTTTTAACGTTTCAAGATATTGTAGTTATTGAGTATCAGCTAGAAAGGATAGTACAATTTCAAAAAACAATTTGTATCTCGTTCAAGTAAAGTAATGGGGTAAAATTGAAAATGGAACTTTCAATCTGTTACGAATACCGTATTTTCACAATATGAATTGAAAACGTAATAACTAAACTCCCTTTACTTTCTGACTTGAATTTTTTAGCAATAATAAAACAAAGAAGCTTTCAGATTAAAAAGTACTATTTTTTTCTTATAGAAAAGTAGTCACAATTCTATTGCGAGATTTGAATTGCAAGAAAGTAAAAATTCCTAACAACAATTTTAGTGCAATATGAATATGTGAATGACAACAGCAAAATGATCATTAAAATTGAAAAATAATAGTGGAATTTTAAACTAAAATTTTTTTAAAAATGTATGTAACTAATTGATGAAAGCATATAGAACTTCAAAAAAGAGTGAGAGAGATTACTAGGCATAGTTTGAAGTATACAATTGTTAATATGTTTTTGAAAACATCATTATTTGGTATTTAATGCGGCACATGATGATGCTAAATTGTACTTGTTTCAATGCTGTATTCTAGTTGTGATGGCTCAGGGTATAGAGCGCTCGCCTTCCAATGAGGTGACCCAGGTTCAAATCTCAACGATGGCTGAGCGATCGATACGAATTCCACACCAGGCTCGCACAGACCACAGTGCTCGCTTAAAATATCCTCAATGGTTGATGGATCACGAGTTAGGGTTGATGGATCATCCCCTTGCCATCGGGCTTACTGTGTGTGGTTTTCATGGTTTTCCTCTCCATATAACGCAGATATAGGTTAGTCCCATCAAAAAGTCCTCCAAAAAGCCTAGCTTGTTCCAATGCTTGATCCAGAAGCTCCCTTCCCTTATGAAAATTTAAGGTATATTTAAGGTTGATTTGAGGTATTTTTGAGGTATTAAGGTTGTTTTGAGGTATATTTGAGGTATATTTAAGGTTGCAGAGAAAACAGAAATAAAAATTATACCTCGTAAAGGTTGTAATTAAGGTGTACGAGGTTGATTTATATATACTTCAGCTTGTTTTGAGGTTGTTTAAAATTCACTTCAAATCAACCAGACTGATAAGG